GATAAAAGATATCAATACTGAAATTTTTACGGACATTTTGTTTTTGCATTCTTATCGAGGGAAGCTTGCCACAATGGGATATCGCTTTGTGAGAAGCTTTTAGAAATTCCGATATTTGCTTGCGTCACTTGAATATTTTTGAAGCGAATCCAAAAAACAAATTTAGGCCGTTTCTAGATTCGTTCCTCGTGACGCAGCTCTTTTAGAAAGAGCAAACCTTCTTCTATTTTAAGAACCTAGACCCATGAGTTTAGGCTTATGACTCGGAAACTTTTACAGTTTCAAACTAGCAAGGCAAGAGCTAAACCGTGGACTTCATATATATATATATATTAGGTTGGTCCGAAAGTTCTGTCCCACCTTTTTCAAAAAATCATAACTTCCTTCCATCAAGATATTTCTGCATGGCTAAAACCTTTTTGGAAACAGAAATTCATGCACTTTCTAAAACTATCTTGGCTGCTATCTACTAAGCTTTGAATGCAGAGATAAAATTGGGAAAAGGAAATCACTTCAAGTTCGGAATTTTTAAGCAAGCCCGTTAAAAAATCTAAAACTGTGCCATATAATCCAAGACAGCCATTATCCTAGACTTTTTGAGCCCCTCTTTCTAGCTGAGCAAAGTTAGCGCTGATCTAGCTATTTTCCAAAAAGTTATGATTTTTTGAAAAACATGTCAAAAAATCAATTTTCTAGAGAAACTGATTTTTTGGCATTTTTTCTTGAAAATCATAACTTCTTTCAAAAGGGCTCGATCAGCGCGAATCTTGCTCAGCTGGAAAGAGGGGATCAGAAAACCCAGGTTACTGGCTGTCTTGGATTTTATGGCACAGTTTTAGATTTTTCAACGAGTTTGCCTAAAAATTCCGAAATTGAAGTGATTTCATTTTTCCAATTTTATCTCTGCATGCGAGCTTAGTAGATAGCAGTCAAGACGTTTCTAGAAAGCGCTTGATTTGCTCTTTTCGATAAGGTTTTAGCCATGCAAAATCATCATGTTAGAAGGAAGTTATGATTTTTTGAACACGGTGGGACAGAACTTTTGGACCAACCTAATATATATATATATATATATACAGGGTGTCCGTAAAAAATGTGCCTACTGTTTGATTGTGAATAACTCTCTTCTAACGAAGTCTTTCGAGAAGCTTTAGGCACCATTTTGTAGAGCTGGCTTCAACTTAGATTTACAGTATAGAGCGAATCGCCGATCTCTCATTCTTACTGTAGGATCACGGTAGAAACTTTAAACTCATTTTTCAGCCTTTCACAGCCAGAAAACTCTTGCAAAAACCTTTCTTTCTTTCTTTCAACCTTATCGACAAATTACGGTAATGGGGATGTTGCAATTAGAATGAGCATCCTCAAGAACCTTAGTCTGAACTTTCTCAGAATTTAGAAAGGTTTTTGCAAGAGTTTTCTGGCTGTGAAAGGCTGAAAAATGAATTCAAAGTTTCTACCGTGATCCTACAGTAAGAATGAGAGATCGGCGATTCGCTCTATACTGTAAATCTAAGTTGAAGCCAGCTCTACAAAATGGTGCCTAAAGCTTCTCGAAAGACTTCGTTAGAAGAGAGTTATTCACAATCAAACAGTAGGCACATTTTTTACGGACACCCTGTATATATATATTAGGTTGTCCCGAAAGTTTTGTCGGTTTTTTTCATCGCTCACCAAACCTCACAGAACACGAATCTATGGAAGGCCTAGGTGTCATTCTATTCATTTTTGTATCCTCTTTCTTATAGCTATATTTGTTCCCTGATCTACCCCTTCTTTACGATGTTATCGCCATGGCTTTTTGAACACCTCAGCAGTAGCGCCAAAACTTTTCTGAATACTCAAAATTTTTATCTTGATATTTTCGATGAGCGCTGGTGACTGTTATGTAGGGCAAATTTTTGGCTACATTGTACCTATTTTAGATTACGCGGGTCACGTTTATATTGTCCGTAATAATTATTTATTTGAGAGAAACCGCGGCTTTTTGAACACGTTTTATCACGTAAAATTACCGAAAATTCCAAAAAGCTGATTTTTGAAGCAAATCAAACTTGGTTATGTTGCATAAATGATGTTAAATAACAAATGAGTTTGAATTAGCAAAAACTCAAAAGCTTTCATGCTTTTGCTGCAATTGCGCGTTTCATGACTTTGCTAAAAACCAAGGCCTCCGGAGAAATAATTTTTTGAAGTTAAAATCAGCAGATTAGGAGAATCTAAAACTATGAACTTGTAGCCCGAGAGTTGCTCTATTTGATCCATACTTAGTCTTTTTCGAAACTTTGTAACGAAATTTTTGAGAATTAGGTTAACTTTGAGCAGGTAAAATTGACAGGTGGAGAATTTTGGCAATTTTCAAAAAAAGCATACAAGGTTATGGTATGAAAGTGTATCCATAAGAAAGAGAAGGAAAAGCTGCATCGAACGCACGTTAAAACTCATTCAGGTCTTCATTGTGCGTGGTTTTACAGTGGTTTGAAAAAACCGACAAAACTTTCGGGACAACCTAATATATATATATACAGGGTGTCCCAAAAAGATGTGCACACTATTTGATTGTAAATAACTCTTTTGCGGTGAAGTGTTTCGAGAAGCTTTAGGTACCATTTTGTAGAGCGAGGTTCAACTTAGATTACAGTGTAGAGCGAATCGCCGGTCGTTCATTCTTACTGTAGGAGTACGGTAGAAACTTCAAACATATGGTGTCACTGTGAAAAAAGGGGCCGTTTCAAAAATTTTCAAAAAAATGTGGAAATTTGTGTAATAGGGTTTTTATGGACCCTGGGTTCAATACCCAACTCTTTACAAGGTTGAGAAGCTTTCTAAACGGTGTAACCGCACTTTTTAGGAACACTTAAAATGTCTGCTACTGCTTACATACCTCGCATGATTTTTTAATGAAGCATCACGAAAAGTTGCAAACTTCACGCTTAGAATCATCAACTCTATTAGCCCAGTGTGAAAGTTTTCAGGTTGTTTTGGTTTTTTTTGGAACAAAATATGGCCTTTCATGGCTCAAAACCCTCTTCAAAGTTTCTACCGTAATCCTACAGTAAGAATGAGAGATCGACGATCCGCTCTACACTGTAAATCTAAGTTGAACCTCGCTCTACAAAATGGTACCTAAAGCTTCTCGAAACACTTCACCACAAAAGAGTTATTTACAATCAAACAGTGTGCACATCTTTTTGGGACACCCTGTATATATACAAAATATACAATATTATTATTTTAGATAATGTTGTGAAAAAATAGACGTATCAGTACTTTTTCACTAAGTACAATTAAAACGATCAAGTGTTGCATCAAGAAGTAGCATTCCAGGTTGGGATAGAGCATACTGATCGACTCAGAAATGTGCTGGTAGACCAGATAACATTGTGTGACCCAGACCCGCTCGCAATGTATATCTGCGGACTGTCTACCAAAGTCCCCACCTCTAATGACATCGGTGAGTCGAACAAAGCATAATGTCTGTGAAAACGATGAGCGGAACTGCATCATATCTTCGCCGAAATTTCAACAACAACCTCAGGATTTCGCCATGATTAATGAATAATCATCTGTTAGAATCGGTCCTGCTTGTTTAGATTTTCATTCTGATTTTCATGATTTTTTTTGCAATTAAAGGTGGTAGCAGATCACTATGTACGATTCGGCACATGCGCGTAAGTTCGCAAAAACATTAATTTATTCTTGCATTGTTTCGCCATTTGAGACAAAGCGCAGTGCCTTCTGGAAGGAATTTTTTCTTTTGTTTAATATGAAGATCATGCCAATCTTTCGTTCCCTAATCAATACTATATTTTCCCAGAATTTTGCCAGGAAAGGGATCAAGTAATTGAACTGATTGGTAGTAATCGAACAAATTGTAAAATTAAGAGGAATGGCGAAAAATTGTTGCCACCGTTCACACGTTAATTAATTCGAAAACGGATAATGCCTTACGTGAACTCTCAGAAGTCTTTCCATGATATCATGTTATTTTGTGCTTCTAATCTTAATTTGGTGTGATATATGGTATGGGCGCTGCAAGCTCTTTTTGTTATCACAGTCACAAAATATGATCGTCGCGTTTGTGCAACACATCGATTAATTATTTCTAAAGCAAATGAAGACGTTTTGAATCTGAAGGCAAATACTAGGCCGTTTCAAAAGTGATTTTATTGCTTTTTACACACGCGGCACTCTGCGGAACAAAGACTCATGGAGGAATTGATAGTATTCAATGCAGTTTTTCATGTCCTTTTAATTGGTTGTATGCTTATTGCAGTCCAACCAACGAGCTCTCAGAAAGTTGCCGAACAATACTACTCATGGTTTTTGCCGTGTTTTCCCTATTTGTTGAATTTCTTATAGACCCCTAAAATGCCCTCCTTTTATTAGCTCGCCAAAAGTTTATTGTTAGAATTTTTATCGCAGCCACCGGAATCTAGTACGCTTATCTCAGTGTTACACGCATCAAACACTAAACAGCAAAGCTTTCATGAATCCGTTAGTTGATTTTACCTCGAAGATATTACGAGCTGTAACAAACACTTTCAGAAAGAGGAGAGCTGCATCGAATGACACCCGGGCTGCATGCTCGGTGTTTTATGAGATTACAGTTGACTGACTATGGAATTTGATAGTAGCAAAGAAAGAAAAAACTCGGACCAAGCTATAGATGCGACGGTTTGGGCATGGTGAAAACCATGGGTTCAAAACTTTGGCAACCATCATAATGACTACAAAATAAATAGTTCAGAAACACATTGCGTGGAAAATTATGTATTATATTATTATATTGATCTTTATATATCTTTATCCCACCTTTTATGATACATCGAAAGGAGCGAAAGAACCTCCGAAACGACTCAATGTATGCTTATGTAAATACATGATAACTATCGCTTTTTGAACTCTTTAGCTTCATCTTTGTTTTTTCTTCGATTCAAAACTCGTAAAAGTGTGATCATCGTTAAGGTAATCATTTAAAAAAATCTTATGCGGAAACAATGCAAAGGGACGATCGTCAAGATTTGTACCGGCTAATTGACATTTGCATTCTCCTAAATCAGGTTAGTGACTGCAGTTTGCGCAGTTGGCTCATGAAAAAATGTATTTAGTTCCCTATCGCAGAAACAATTGATCACCAGCATCATTTACAGCATGATCTGCTACAGCTATGCAGCCTGAAATGTGAGTGTTTATTTGCCACTGTGAATAATAGGTAGCACTAGCCAATACTGGTTGCAGCAGAGACCAAGTACATAGATTATGCTACTTCGGTTCTTATGCAAATGTCATCCATTATCGCTCCATCTGAAGAAACAAAGGATTCCGTGACGGTCACACGATTGTTGTGTGACCTGCTGCAAGGTCCCATCTCCCGCCGCAGCTTAATATTAGCTGACCTGGCAGCAAATGGGTTCAGAACGTAGATTCATACCTCGACAAACACGTTAAATAATGTTTGACTCTACTCATTCAGCGACGCCCTTGTTCTGTCCATTTTTTTGCTCGGGAATGACGAAATCACGTTGAAGATGAAGAAACAGTACGCATTCATGTACGAAAATTCCTTGGATGACGAATTGAAACAAATCCTACGGTGGGTTTTCAGACGTTGATATTCCTGGCCTAACTTAGGCAATTGTCAGCAATCCATTCATTGCCGTATTACACGCTGTTTCTCTCTCATTACCAAATTGTATGACGGAAATTGTGACGTTCCTCTGTGACCTTTTATTACTTTCAACATAACCGGATTTCTCCGTTGAAATTATGAAACAACATAAGACTATATGATTTCTTGGACTTTTGCACAACCCGAATCAAAAATGCATTTTCAAAACAGTCGATTGAATTTATTGAGAGAGGGACGCAAATATTCTATTTTGCAAGGTGTGCGCAACGCGTTTCTCAAAAATTTCGCACTTAGCGAAACTCTAGTAAGGATTGTTGAGGAAGCGTTTCAATATTTCGGTAAGAACAGCTCTTCGAAAAATTTGGAACTCATTCTGAAAGTACAAGAGCTTATTTCTGGTTGCTGAGTTGATTTCATCCCACCTACCCTGCTCCCTTCGAAGAATCGCAACCAAAAAGTGATAAATATTTTGTTCTATTAGCCTGCTCATAACTTCTACTACATTAAAGGAGAAATTCTCACAGATTCTCCGAAAAAAATGTTCCCCATCACCAAAAAACTAAATACGTAGCTGTTTTGAAATATGCATGTTACACGTGAACGAATCCACTTCCTAAATACGCTAAAAATTTCATTCTTTTTGGCAGATCCAATTGCGTTTTTGGAGAGCTCAAATCCCAAACTATCTTCAGTTTAGCGGTATTGATCCTGGAAATCTCAATAAACTAAAAAGGTGAAAAACAATATTGAGAAATTTTTCTAATAAAGAAGAAAATTGGGAGAGAAGCGTTGTTACTTTTGAAAGTTGCTTACATGAGCTATAAAATTGTGCAAATGACTTATTCATACTTGTAAATAAGTAAAATATTTTTTAAAAATTTCAAAAAATTCAAATTAGCCCCATAAAAAATTATTATTTTTCGGGGGCATGGCTGACGCCCGCCCCCTTATTCTGGATTTTCGGGGTTATGAGGCTGGGAAAGTTTTCGAAACCACCCCTAAAATTTTTTCGGAGTGCGTGGCTGAAGCCACGCACCTTCACTAAAAAAATTTTTTGTCGCCCCCCCCCCCGAACCGAAATCCTGGGTACGCCACCTCATGAATCTCCAGTATGAGACTCTGGTGGAATATCTTAGTTTTCTAGAGGAAGACAAAAAGTGCAACAAGATTTTTGGAGGCAGCGTCCAGGCAAAATCTATGCTTTCTAGTACCTACTTCAAAAGAAGGACCAAGGAATATCTGCGTTACCGGTTCTTCAATGTGGCCTCTGAATGAAAAAAATGAATCCAGAATTCGCGAAAATGCTTCCAATCCAGGATACTTGTCTCTGATTTGCAGAGCTTACAAAAAGTCAGTTTTGTAGAAGTAAGGAGCGTGACTGCTGCTACCCGCCTTTTCCCAAAATTGCTGAGATTTTGTTGGAGGGCGTGGCTTGTGCCACATCATGCATCGTCCATCCGACCTTCTCAAGAAAAGTTTTAATGTGGTCCCGACTTTTTTGATATTTTTCGTCCACTTAATATGAGTTTACTTATCAGTTTTTATCTTACATAAGAAGATTACTGGGTAGAAGTGGGAATTTGAGAATATAGCTCTTAGAACGCTAATCTCAGTACCACATATCTGCAACGCAATTTGTACGAAAGAAGTTATGAGCGCTCCCCCCCCCCCGTTCTTGAGGCGCAGGAGGTAGCAAAGGCCTGCCGCTTCTGCTTATGGAAGTATCTCTGACTGTGAGGAGCTTCAGAGTTCCTCGCGCTTCTAATATTTCTTCGCACCTCTAAGTATCCATTTGATATATGAACTATGCCCAATTAGTAAACTTCTTAAGTGTGGTAGATTGCGAAATATACTTTTATGTTTCATATCCAAAGCGAATGAAATAGTAAGTTTCAAGTAGCCTAATTTAACATGGACGGTATAGAATTCAGAACTTTGAGTAGATATGGAAGTATGACTTGGTCTATTGAATCTTCGAGCTGGAATGTTGAGCTTTCTTGTAATTTTTTCGTCTTGATAATTCCGGTCGAAAACAAGGACTTCAAAGACTGAGAGCCACGTTCTTCATTTTGCTGCAGTCTTATTCCTTTGTAGTTCACGAATTCTGAAGGAAACTGCTCGGAACCCGATTTCTGTAGGTCGAAACCGATCGTGGCTGAGACTGAAAGAAATTACAAAATTTTCAACTTTATCTGAATTAAAATACTCTTCAATAGGTTTCGATTTCTATTAACTGAACACTTCGCATTTCTCCTTCCATAAAACTTTGCTGCGTACAAGTACCCTAATTTCACGCGTACAAGGCACGGGGTGGTCCTAGCTTTCATCGAGCTGCTCAGCCGCCCCAACGTGTTTTAAGAAGCGATCCTTATGCCGCACGATTCGTCAGGCAAAACGCAGCACGGTATGGGGTTCCTTTGGTTGCGAAGTCCTTTGCCGTGTTCGGGCTGGTCGATGAAAGCTAGGACCACCCCGCGCCCTGTACGCGTGAAATTAGGGTAATATATAGTCAGAACACAGCAAGACACAACTGATAATTTCGCAATTTTTACAAACAAAGTATCAAATTTTCATAGCGTGATCGATATTTATAGTCTAGACTCTCCGTATGTGCATATCATGCTTGCACACAAAATTCTTTATCTAGAATCATCAAGCATCTACACCAGCATTTTTACGAGATCTCATTGATAAAATATGATTTACCAAATCGCTTCCTCTCTCCTCAAATGACTACTTTGACCCCTTCTGTTTTGGTATTTTGTGCTTTGTCACTCAAACCTTTTTGTTTATTGATTAAATTAACATTATGCTGCTGAAACTTACTTTGAAATAGCTTCAATGATTGATCATGCTTTTTCACTTTGCAAATTGCGATCGTTCTAACTTCTCTCAGATGAGAAATGATAACGATTGCCAAGTGAAAAGTTATTGTTTTCTATAGTATGCTTCGCAATGCGATCGCTTCCGGGTTTTTCGCTCAAGGAGCTTTTTCACACTGATGCAAAATGCACATTGAAGAGTACGAATGTCGCAAATCTTCCGCGTACTCCATGTGTGATTTTATCAACAAATTTTAAGGTTTAGAAAAAATCACTGTCGATAAATGGAAGGCCTTTAAGATCCTAAGTCTTTATAGCCGTCACAGCCGTTTTTTTCTTTGAAAATGACTTAAAAATTAGCATAACTTGTAATAAGCCGCCAATCTGTCAGTCTATTTGTGGGAATGATTTACAAAAACTTTGAAGCTGTAAAAGTTGTATAGCGAGGCAAGTTCATTCTTGTTGAGATGTAGTTAAGTGAACCAAAGGCTCACAGATGGAAAAATTGTGCTTACTTGAAGTTTATCAGATAGAATTATCTGAAATTTACAAATGAAATGTATCACGGCTTATTAGTACAACCCTCCAGGGCTTCTTCTGGAGAAAACTTGTGCAGTACGCAAGAGTCAACTCTATAAGTTGCACAACTTGAAGGACACAAGTCATACATCTTGTCATTTAGTTATTACAAGACCAAAGTGCCGCTACGCGGCACTTTGGTCTTGTAAGTTAATAAAATATAAAGTTAAGCACTGGGAGTGTTCGTGGCACTTTTCTAGTTGTGTAGACAATGCCGCTTCGCGTACTGTGCTTATAACCCGTTGGATAATGTTTGCACTATATTGTCCCTTCGTTACTCAGAACAGTCTCAGATTGCTCCTTCTCAAGGGGCAATCTCCGCTAACGTTTTTTTTTTCAGAAAAATTAGAGGCTCTGAAATTATCATTGCTAAGCTAAGATTTGTTAGCCGTATCGTATCGCACACCTTCGAAGATATCGCCACTCCATAGTTTTTTCCTATTGCGCATTCAAAATGACTCTTTCCAAGCCTTGTCTAAAGTTGTACGCAATGGCAATGTTCCGAAAAACATCGCCATACTTCCGGTACATGATGTGAATTTTCGCAGCACTCGTGGCAGATGTCTCTAAAGATCTCAAAAATCTTTTTTTGTGATGATCTTAGCTCATGTCTGCATAATGATTTTCTTTCTCAATTTTTCAGTGAATAGCGCTTAGAAAGCACGATCTGAACGTGTAATATAATATATCAGAAGAAAAACCTTGACCACCTGGTTTATATTTTCGCACCCACTCTTTTTGCAATCAGTGAAGCTCTGCGGCAGCACTCAAAATGTGTGGGTCATTGGCGAAAAAAACTGCCAAAATATTTAAAACATAAGTTTGCATCAAAACGTGGCTTTCGCTCGTCCAGACAGAGTTAAGTACACAGCATCTGTAATGATATTGCTGTTGGAGGCTCTTTTTGGAGTTTTAAGAGGGAAGTATTCTTCGCGATGACCACCTCTCCAAAATTTCACCTCTCTCTTAGCAAAAGTCGTATCGCATACAACTTTTGGTATTTAGATTAAAACTCAAAGCCATTTCAAACAAAATGCAGATGAAAAGGATCATGTGCAAAAAAGTTGTATTTGTCCATAACGCTGGTTTCTTGATCAATGTTCCTGGTCGTCTCTCTCAACAAAATAGGAAATCATCCTCTACTAATGTCGGATGTCAGCTTACATTTCATCCCAGCTGCTTAGGCAGTCAGCTTTTCATTATTATTGACATTAGAGCCTTAGCTGAACCACTGCATTTGAATATCTAACCGTAGGAACTGAGGCTGGTTCTGTGCAAAATGATAAATCAACTTACTTTTTAGACGACTACTACATTTTCGAAAGAAGATTTGTAATTTCAAAATGCGAATTTCTTGATCAAAAACAACTTATACTCTATGCACGAACGACGTAAAATTAGCTAAGAACCGATCACTGCAGATTTTCGGATGTAAACTGTTCAACAGCGCAGTATCATATAAGAATGGTAATGGATTTTTGTAAAAATTCAATGAACCGAGCAGATCGGCATAAAAGTCTTGGGTGACATTTGAGGAATGCCTCGTATAGATGAAGGTAAGCTTAAAATGGCCTTAAAAAGAAGTGGTGGCAGTGGTTTTGTCCAATAACGCCTATTGATATGGAAGCAATGTTTGAAGTGAGATCAGAACAGCCGATATTTCAAAAAAGCAACGAAGCCATTTCAAATTCTGGCAGATGCAAGAACTGTCGGGCAAAGTTTGCTCATTTGGTTTTGCGACTCTCTTGTTTTGATTCTTTGTGAGCTTTCGACCGTTCCGGTGCTCATAAACCCAAAACGGTAAACATGTGGCACCCTTTGTGGTGACGTCATCGCTGTACATAGCCACATGTTTACACTTGATGGGGGGCCCTGCGAATTATTATAGTAGATGATGCTGAACAAGACTCATTCTAACCTCAATAAGGATGACATAGAGAAGAAACCAAAGCCAAATCTCAAGCCTCTTAGAGAAACCTCGAGTGATAATCGATCTGCGAGGAGTGATTGCGTAACTGCATATCTTAATCCTATGTCAACACTCTCGTACCCAAAGTATAAAAAATACTCATTTACCTAATTAGCCCATTAGGCACGGACCAAATTCCATATTGGAGATCTCCAAAATGCAAGCCTTTTTTGCATTGTGGTCAACGATAATACAAACCATTGTAAAGTTGAACGTTATTTTTTGAATGCACTTATATTTGAATGTATGAAGCATGCGCGACACTAGAACCTTACTTGAAGCAATGAATCTGTTGAATTTCTGGGTTCTCAAAGCTAGCAAGCAGCTTTTCTTACCTATCTGACCGCGCATTAGCTTTGTACTGCTGATGTCAAATATGTTTTATAGACCTTAGAACCGTTTTTGGAGTTTAATAATAAAAATTCTGCTATATACTTCCCAATTTACTGGCGATTTCGGATTCCTTTAAATCCTCGCGATCTCAAGCAACCGTTTTTGGAGTTTAATAATAAAAATTCTGCTATATACTTCCCAATTTATTGGCGATTTCGGATTCCTTTCAAATCCTCGCGTTCTCAAGCACAGTCTCTTGATTCAAGTCTTAATATAGTATGACGGAAGTCTCGGTAAATTCATAGAGTACTGGGGTGTGTTTTTTTGCTATAATGTAATCTATACTACCTACTACAGCTTCGAAGTGCTGAGGGAGTTACTGAGGGAGATTTTGTGTAAGGGGAGAAACGCTTAGAAGAAGCCTTTACAGGTGACGGGATAGTCCACAAGAATAATCTTGAGTAAATGGGATATTTATTCCTCTTAAACTCACATCAGTTGGATCTTGACTATAGCGGATTTATGTCTGAAGCAAGTCATGTCTGCAATAGCTATAGAGTAATTGAGTTCTTATGGGCGGAGTGTAGGAAATGAAACTCGAAGAGGTTTTCCATTAGTTCTCATTATGAGAGCAAGGAAAAACACGGACTATGTATTAGGTTGATGCATAATTCTTGCACCAAAATTTTTAAAATTCTGTTACTTCATCCATCTGCGATGAAATCTTTTGGTTCGATACAAAGTAGAGAGAGCAAATCTTGCGCTTTCTGATGGTGCTCGAGCCAAAAGTCCTTGAGGGCATACGGCAACGATATAAGGTGAATAAGAGAAATTTCCAAAAAGTGATTTTTCGATTTTTAGTCACTAAAATTGCTAAAACGTCTACTAGAAATTACATTTATTTTTAGTCTAAGTTTTATGGTATGCTCTTTTTGATTAAGAGAAGTTGGTAGTGATTGGATGTCTCTGCGAATATTTACTAATTTCGAATTTTTTGAAATGACTTATCGATTTTGTTTCAAACTGATTTTCTAAAATGTGCTATAAAATACTACTTTTGATATACATAACATAGAGCAGAACATGTAAGTTGACCACCTTGTTTAAGCATTTTTAAAATAAATTTTTTGTATTTTTTGGTGCAAGAATTGTGCATCAAACTAATATGTAGTCCGTGCTAGTATGTATGTGATAAAAATATATTCATAAACAAGTCAGAAAAAAATTCAGACAAGCTTTACCACGGTAAATTAGAGGAAATTTATTGTTTGCAGTAATTTGGATTTCGGAAAATTTAGTACTCACAAGTTGATAAGAAAAGGTAAACCTTGTAGGCTAGATAACGAGCAAACGTAAGCATAACTCAGGCTTTTCGCTTAACGCAGAAGAGAATGGAAAGATGCGGGCTAAATGCTTCATCTCGACAGAAGGCCTAATCGTATTCGTTTCAGAGGTATCAGGACAGGACGGATGCCGATATTCAACGAGGGCATTTTTAACATTGTCGACCAGGTTAGCCGAGGAGTTGGTACTCATAGAAACTTTTGTTGATTTTGTCAGAATGTCTTTTTGATTGCTGCGTGCGGACTCTTCAGAAAAAGATCGTGAATCTTCTTACTATATCCGTCATACCATAAGAATATCTTGAAGGCACCGTCGACCCGAACTGAGGGTAATGAGGCTCTGATGTCATATAATGCAGAGGCCTCCTTGATTGAACCATCGCTCAATTCTGCTGCAAAATGAATTCCTCAGCGGGAAAACCGTTCCAGAAGTTAGAAGCGTTGGCTCCGCCGATTCAGGGTGGGTGGTCCGATATGAAAATAAAAAGCAGAATATACCTAGATTTGTCATAACCGTCCTTCATTATATTGTCAGATTTTCGACGTTTCTACCCACCCTGAAGCCCGTTTTCAAACTTTTTATCTTTACCATCCAAGTAGATGAGCGGACCCAACGTTGCGCTCCTATCTGCTGAAGCGATCTCCTTGTTGAATGCATCTTTTGCAGCGAGACTTGGGCGATGGCTTAGTTGAGGGTACCTCGAATATATGACGTCAAAACCTCATGACCCTCAAATTGGGTAGACTTCCTCGAGAGTCTGGCCGCTGTGTGTGATCACACATTTATATTCCCCAAATAACTGTCTTATTTAGGTAACAGCATATAGAATCATCAAAATTGACTTCTTGCTAAACGAGAATACCATCTCATTGAGGGAAAAATTGGTATGTTTTTGTCCTTCTGTTTTGAATGTATGTGAAAAAGAAAACGTTATCAGAGAACTCGATTGGACCTTTCAAAGTGGATTCGTTTATTGATTTGTGAGGGACTGGCATATAGGGAATACGAACTGATACGGTGCCTAGCAGAGGACGCCACAGTTTCGCTATATAAATACTCATTATTTTTCGGTATGGAACAACTGACGTTTACGGTTCGTTAATTCGTAAAAAATACAGAAATTTATTTTTCTGATGATTCGTGATTTAGGCCTCCATAGATCTCCTCATCGAAGCAGCCGCCGTTGTTCATTACACAAAGCCAGACCTGTCAGATTTCGACGAGTTTGACGACGAATTTACCACCGTATTAGGACAAACCTTAGAAAATCATCCGAATGGTAAGTGGTTTGTCAGTTATTTACCGCCGATATTCTTATATATAAAGCTGAAAGTCTCTCCCTGGCCTGTCTGTATGTCTGTAAGTCCGTGTGTCTGTGTCTATATGTCTGTACGTCTGTACTGTACGTCACCTGTCTGTCATCCGTATATCTGCACGTATGTCTGTCTGTCCGTCTATCTGTAGGTCACAAATAGAAAATTCCATTTCTGAACCGGTCCGAACCAACTTTTGCACACATATACTTCGGGGCGTGTTATAAGACCACTTTTCGTGATTAATCAATATCGATCTCAACGATTTTTGAAGGTTTGAGATAAGGGGCTGGGAGTGATCACGAAAGGCGTTAAGGGTAAGGAACTGGCATTTAGATGTTGACCGGGACAGCGAAATGTTGTAAATAAGTAGGGCGTGAGATTTACCGTAGTGTTCAGGCCGGGCGGACCGGGTATGCCAGCTGGTTACGCAAAATCTTGATATTTTTTAGCCTTAGTTATTTCGCGTAGGTCCCATGCAGCCTCAGAGAAATGTGTTTGTCAAGTTGCACTCGTCCTCGTCCGAGTTCTAGATGTTATTATCGTGTTATGAGTGCAGTGCGAGTTTTCGTCTAAAAGAACAGTACGTCCACTCTTGCATCCTATATTCTAATCATGCCCTTGCAATCATATTGATTTAAGCTGAAAATCGGGAATAATTCAAAGGCCACCCATTTAGAATCTAGGTCAGCGCCTCCATATATGCTGCACTCCCTTACATTGAGAAGATTGTCATTTGAAGAAATCATGATTTGGGATCGGTAGAGATGGGTACCAATCACGAAAGAATGAACAATAGAACAGGCGTCCGTCTTCTAACTCCTCCGAGTCGTTTTAGCAGTTTAGCCCGGGTCAAAGCTGGAGGTTACACAATTTTGTGCACATGTACAGGGTGTCCCAAAAAATGTACACACTGTTGATCGTTAATCACTTGCTTTCTTCGATGTCTCTCGCCGATTTCTAGGTACCATTCCCTAGAGTGAGTTTCAACTTAGATTTACAGTATGAAGCGAAACTCCGATCTTTTGTTAACGTAGGATTACGGTATTTCAGCACACAGCGCCGTTGGAATTAAGCAGTTTGATGAAGAAAGTTTCGCAACACTCTGGGATTTCGTGTAGCAGGGTTTTTAAGCATACTGATTTCAGTATGCAACTTTTACAAAAATTCCAAGTGTTTTTGGAGCTTTAATCACATTTACAAAGAACATCGTAAGCAGTTGTTGCTGTTTTCCTTTTTAACTTATGAAGGAAGCATCACCGTGGTGTGCAAATTACCTATCTGTAACCAGCGACTCTTGTTAGCCTAGTATAGAAGTTTTTGGCTTGTTTGTTTTCCTCTCCGGGGAATTGCGACTGTTTTTGTTTGAAACTCTCTTCAAAGTCCTAATCCCTACAGTAACGAAGGGAAATCGGAGTTTTGCTTCATACTCTAAGTCTAAGTTGAAACGAGCTTTATGGTGCCTAAAGATTGGCGAAAGACATCGAAGCAAGCGAGTTATTAACGATCAAACAGTATGCACATTTTTTTGGGACACCCTGTATAAGTCTAAAGTTTGTGAGGGAATGTGCTGGGGCATAAGGTTGTCCTTAACCAATTTAGTTTTCATCATGCTGAATGTAGTATTTGGTACTCAGTCATTTGAGATAGGCAGTGAATCAACACTAACGTCGATGTGGGAATTTTCTCAATTAGAATTGATCATCTATTCAATTATGAACAAGTTTCGCCTTAGGTTTGCAACGTGATTTGATTTCATCACCATCGTCCAAATGGTATCCCACCCCAGTTCAAAGTTTTTTGCTGGACTAGCGTAAGAGTCAGAGAATGGACGGAACCGATGCATGTTGCGTATAAGATGGGATGTTATGCAATACAATACAATGCAATACATCGTTTAAGCAAAGCTTGTTCTATCACAAGTTTTAGGAATATTAGCTGGACTGGTTGAAAGATGGTCGTGTAAGGAGAGTGTAATGGAAGCCCTTCACAGCGATGACGTATACTTCCCTAAAAGTTGTCGCTCCTCGATAGAGCACATAGCCGATGATTTACGCGAGAGTGAGTGCCTCGAGAAGTCAAGGAAAGTAAGTTGATATATGTCGCTTCCTATGTGTAAATACAACGAGAGGTCTTCACTAAATCAGTGCCCAAGCAGCAAGTTAGCCTATGATTTATTCATGGACGTACACATAACTCGAATGCTTGCTTAACATTGATCTCGAGCACGTTCTTAGGTACTTGGAGAAGTAGCAAGATATCAGAAATGAGTCTGTCCCACATTTCTTAGTACAGAATACAGAATAACAGTTATCTAGTATTTTAGAATCTGATGTGAAGCGGAAGATAAAGCAACCTGCCGGTATATGCTTGTACACTATAGCAGTTCTCACACAAGCTTTGCTGTAGCAGACTTTGTCTCGCCTTTAAAAAGAATCAAAGGCGTTGCAAATGATATGCTTTGCTCGACAGGTTTTGCACTCTATCAATCAACGAACTTACATGAAATTTCAATTTTTATTGCTATCGTGTGTAGTGCAAAAGTGAGTCATACGCAAACCATATCTGACGCTCTTGTAGTTTTATAAATAGTGTCTTCCAAACATTGAGATAATTACGAGTTGGATAGCCGACTGCTGCTGATACCCCGCAATAATGCTGAACGTCATCTGCCACTGCTGACATCCAAACGATCAACGTATTACAGGGACTCATGATATTTGCAAGTGATTTGGCGGTGTCAATATTTGACGCCTTGCTTGGGCAGCCCTGCCAAAGGGTAGATGTAATCGCAAAAAATTCAACTCTAAAGCCAAATATTGGCCACGTAATCGTAAGAAGGCTCTGCGAGGGTTTGTTATAATGTGGCTAATTATGGCTACTCTTACAATTGATAATCTTTTCTAGGGTTGCTTACGGACTCCAACTCGCGTTTTGCGGGTGTGCTGCACCAACTGTGCGCGCCAATTTTGGAGGAGGTGCCCATGGAAGGTGTGTTTATTATCTACTGGATATTTCATCGGTCGGTGGAAGGTAACGTTGATAATGGGCGGCTTCTTGTCTACCAAGTAATGAGTAGTGACTGAAAGTAATCTTGATCGCTTTTTATCTACTCTGGAATGTGAGGGGCCTGTCGTCATGCTTCGCACAAAAGCGCTCAAGCGCCCAGAAGCGCGATGCTTCTATTCGCGTGCGCAATTCTTCGCTGGAGCCTAAGTGACTATCAGCAGTAAAATAACTACTGGTAGAGAGAAACAACTCTCGTTTGTCGAAACTTTGAAGAAAGGCTTCCCGATAACGTCAGATGCATTTCGAGACATTTTCACATTTTCGTAGCGGAAATAAACTGTTTAATCGCAAAGATTTAGGTTAGAAAAACAACCATTATGCGCAACACATTATCCAAGCGCTTCTGTGCACGTAATTTTCTTCCAGCGTTCACTGGAATAGCGTGCTATCTTCTTAGGTGAGAGAATCGGATATGATTATAAATCATTTGGCACCGTCCAAGCAAAATAAAGTCGATGAGATTTTGATGCCCAAAGTAGTGGGGCTCCCAATGTATACTTGCCCAACTTGCGCCCTTAAAAGTTGCTACCAAAGCGAGAAAACTGCTTCGAAAATCGCTTCAGAAGACGGATTCCCGACGATGACTCCAACAGGGCGTACGCTCGTTCCGTCCATCAATGCGCACCCAACCAATCACCGTTCCGGAAAACTTGCCCTGCAGGTTCTTTGGAACGGGGATTGTCGGTTTCGCGGATGCTTGACTTGATATTCGCAATCAGGGTTATTTAAAGGCCTCAGAACGACAAAAACAAGAAAGTCGAAAATTTAGATGGACGGTGTTTTTGAGTCATAGTAATGAAAGAAGTGTTATGGTGAAATTTGTAGACAACCGCTCGGCAGAGTGACAACTTTGGGATATTCATCGTTCTGGGTTCTCCTGGACGAGCTAAGTCCAAGACTGTGCTTTGCAGCTTCAAAAAATCAATAACCCGCTTTTTTCAAAAGTGAAAAGTGCTATTTGGGGGACGACGTATGCCTGCGCTCGAGCGCGATTGGCTCGTGGGTACGGTAGGTACAGTGTTTCCACTCACAAGCCAATCGCGCTTTAGAGAGCAAGATACGCGGTCCGCCCAAATAGCACTTTTCACGTCTGGAGAAGCGAGTTTTTGATATCTTTTGAAGCTGCAAAACACAGTATTGTACTTAGCTCGTCCAGGAGAGCCCAGAACGATAATATTTTTCAAAGTTGTCATTCTGCCGAGCTGCTGCTTTTAAGCCGAATTTGATCGAGTTTCACCTTATCACGTAAACGAGGTAATGTATTCATTTGGAATTGAACACCGTTTTGAAAACCACGTTCCAAAGTCTAAAGTTGTCATAGTAAGGGCACGTTCTGCGCTTCTGGGCGCTTTTGTTTGCTTTCCGGCAAAGCATGGGAGGCATGGGAGGTCTCTAAGCTTCAGCTTATATCTGCTACGAATATATTGAGCTTTTCGTCGCTTTCAAAAATCTCTTGTCGTGCAATTAATAGAGGGTTACAGCAAGTCTTGACGAAAGAAAGGTAATCAGTGTTCCTATCTCATCGCCTTCATACCTTCATTATTTCTAGTTTTCAGTTCAGCGCTGCCTGGACTGGAAACTAGAAATAATGAAGGTTAGTTTTGATTCACATTGTTTATGAAACATCATCTCCATAGCGCTCATGAAATCCTTTCTCAGTGCCCACTGCTGAGGATACACCTCGTCAGCGTCATCGGCGATGGAAAACCAATTAAGACAGTAAGAGATTCCGAAAAATTTGGACGTGTTGTAGAATAATCATCGAATTTGCCTTTATCATAGCTAGAAAATACTGCACAGAAGCTTTTCCTGTAAAAAATTTGCTCATGAAAATCCTTTTGCGCTTCTTGACGTCAATGCAAATTTACTATTTGAATTAGCTTGTCAGAGAAACCAGTGCTCAAAGAGCTGCAAATCTACGACGATGCTCAAATTTTGAGATCTCCTCATGTAATCTTCACTGGAAACTTCAAATAATCAAATCAACGTTTCTTTCGTATCGGGTGAAGCAAAATCAAGTTTTGAGGTACTACACTGAAATCGCAACAAAATCTCATGTTAGCAGTATCAAAAATCAAAAATCATAACGGTAGCAAAGTGTTTATACTATACCCACCAGCAATGCAGAAAGCAGAAAGACATTGTTGTACTCTTAGTGCTATAGTTGAACTTCGTTCTGTTTTCTATGCATTTGTTTGTCTCAGCGATCACTCTGACAGAATTTCTCATGTCAGTCCTCCAAACATGGGGATTTCTCTATAAAAAGCGATCAGTAGTTTTTTGAAACTCTAATCATAAATCTTTTGACCGTAGAACTCTTGAACCCGCTTTCAAGTTTTTGAGAAACAGAAGCTTTTTTGCTATATCTCTACGTAAAAATATATCTATCAGATTTGCCGAACAATATTATACAGGAACGCTTCTCCATTTAAGACTATAAATTCAAACATTTGATGATGTGTTTTTCTGTAATTTGTAGTTAAGGACATTGTTAAAAACTGTTTCTTTTTTTTCAATGTTGTATGTTATGTTCAGTGTTGAATTTTTGATGTTCTTCTATTTTTAATGCCTGGTTTTTTTTTCTTGTTCATTCTCTGATCATGTCGACGGAATTTATCTTACTCTTCTGTAAATCATAATATAAATTTTTATTTTTTGTTTTTCATTCGAAATGCGGCTTTGCTCCTACTATGTTGTCCAAAAATTTTCAACAGTATGTACTGTTGCACGTGGAAACAAGGCTTGCTGCGTTATACTTGTAGAGGGCGGGGTAAAAGATTTACTGATCAAGTGTAGAGTACTAACTATGTCGACAGTTTCTGTAAATGCTCCACTTATTTTACAATGATAGATAAGACAGCATTCGGACCTGCCTAAAATATGATAGCTTTAAGCAAATTAACTCCCTTTTTGTACTACATAGACCTCATAATCCATCAAAAAATGTTCATCAAACTTTCCGGGGCATCGCATATTGCTTCAAAGTGGACGGATTCCGAACCCAAGCATGCCGCACGACTCAGCTCTGCGAACAGCATCTTCAGATATATAGACGCTCCTCTTTGGATAGGGGTCTGTAGACGATTGGCACCCAGATTTCAAGATTTTTAGATTTTTGTATTCGGTGGGTTACCCGTTGTGCAATGAAACTATCAGAAGATGGATTCTGCCGCGCTAAGTTGAACGGTGCATGGCTTCAGGATTCATTCACGAACCAAGATATTGCGATACGATGCGGTATCGGTGAACTCCAGAGAAGCGCGGAGGCTTTTTTGAGAATTTGGAGCGGTCTTGTATATATTAGGTCGGTGCAAAAGTTTTGTCAGTTTTCCAATTCATCGGCAGACACGTTAGAATGAAGATAAACGATTCAGAATGTATCCGGTGCAGAATTTCTTTCTCTTTCCAGCTGCTAAACTCCCACTGTGTTTCGTTGCGAGAGTGACGAGATATTTGCTGGAATTTACAACAACTCGTTTTTACCCTGTCCAACTTTCGCTAATTCTCAAAAATTTTGTATGAGGCTTTCGGAGGAGCCCTAATAATCAGCAGATAGGGCAAACTTTTTGCCAACTTACGCAAATTTTTTCTTTTTTCCATCTGCTTTTTCGGATTTTTGCTAAATAACTTTCTAAAAGCCTTGTGTTTTGGAAAAACGGCATGACCTAGTTATTGCACCAAACACTGCGAAATTTACGGAGTACTGAGGTTTTAACACTTGATTATTACTACCGCTACCATTATAAAGTAAATGAGCGATTTTCGCATCAAATTATGAAGATTTTGAAACATAGGTTACGCCAGTGCGCACTCCTGAAATTGAGAAATACTGCGATTTTCCCCATAAATTTCGCTTGCCTCGGCAAAAGAAGCCAAGTATTAAAAAGAGGAGAAAAATCTGCACCGAATGGTACTAAAGTGTTTAACATTTTATGTTCTACGAGATCAAAATAGGCTGAATGTATAACTTGGTCACTTCAAAAAATAAATCGTCGAAATTCTGAAAGACAAGCTGTAAGGCAACAAAAAATTGCATTAGTTGGCAAATGGTTAGTCCTATCTGCTGGTCATTGGGGCTCCTTCAAAAGTCTCATACAAGAATTCGTAAATTAGCGAAATTTGGACATGGTAAAAACGAGTGGTTGTAATTTGCAGCAAATATCTCGTTACTCTCGCAACGAAACACAATGGGAATTTAGCAGCTGGAAAGAGGAAGAAATTCTGCATCGGATATATTTTGAAGTCTTTGTTTATCTTCATTCTAGCGTGATTGCCGATGGACTGAAAAAACTGACAAAACTTTTGCACCGACCTAATAGATCAGGTTGTCACAGAAATGACAGGTGTTCACGAATTTTGGAGTTGAATACAACATCGGTAACAATTTCATGAAATTGCCTATTAGTAGATCTTGGACAGCGTACTCTGAATTTCAAGTCTGTAAGTGAAAGAGCTTTTGACTAGAATCCGCAAAATTACTCTCTAACAAATCAGTTTTAACAGACCAACACTAGTGATTCTGGGATCAGATCTAGGCATTTACTTATTAAATTCATCATGTCGGATTCATTACAAGGTGCGAGGCAGATCAGTACTTCTTCGGACCATCACCTTCACGAGGTACGCGAGTTTTTATCTTGGAGTGTTCAAAAACGACCTTTTTCCATAAGCAGAGCAACTGGATGGAGTTGCCGTCACTTGATCATACTTCAAAGGCTTTCAGTGTAACTCTCCGAACAAGCACAATTAAGCGAGAACTTCCTGGCTTTAACAAGGAAAACTGGTAGATCATCTATTAGAAAGTGACAGCATGCTTTCAATAGACATTCAGTCAGTCGGTGTTCTCAGTCTTTCGGAATCTATCAACTACTGTCTATAATTGAATCCAAAATTCTGGAGCATTCAAAGCTATATATCTTCTCTTAGAACAAGGCGCAGTTTTGTATAACAAACGTCTCTTCCCATCTCAGTATAAATTACACGTAAAAAAGAAGTGAATGTGATATCGAATTGGAGCCGTCAACTACTAGCATGTCAGCTTTGACAAACTAACACCAGAGGTTCTGGGATCAGGTCTAGACACTGGTCATATCGAAATATATCGAATTCAGGATGCCCTGACACTTTTGCATTTGTTCAACGGATTTTGATTTCTACAACGCCCGTATGCAATTTTGCACCAGTGCCGATGTCACCGAATAATCCTGAGAGAGACTCAAACGTTCCAAGAACGACTGATGCTGTAGATGTTGCTTGAATCTTAGCCAGTTTATTGTCCTTTTGTGTGAAAATCTAAGAGAAAAACTGCAAATAACGCACTTAAATGAATGCTAATAACGTAGGCCACGCTTCAAGTCCAAAAGAAACACGAACAGCACATTCAGAAAATAGTTGTAAGCTATGTCCTATTTTGTACCACGTTCAATGGAATTAGTGAAACAATTAATAGGTAGATGCAAAAGTTCTTGCGCATCATTTTTGAGAAACCCTTTCCTTTGTGTTAGGCCTCTTTCCTTTCTAATAAGGGGTATCTCTAACAAGGGAAGGATACCAACAAGTTGGCCATTGAAGACGATGTGTATATCACTAGAAGCATCTCTAAAAGCTGCTTCCAGACGTGCTTTCCTTTCCTGCGAAACAACTCTCTCCGAAGGAAGTTACGAGCGTATAAATGTCCAAATTTTCCGAGCATTAAGTGCCTTAAATTCAGCGAAAAGCTCCAAAAAACCCTATGCGGATTTTCACCGGTTTTGTTCTTTTCTTACAGATATGAGTATCCACTTTTAGATGTTTTTGTACAGCTTTTCGCCAATTTTAGGCCACCTAGAGGTTGACAAATTTAGACATTCGCATAAATTTTTTCGCAAAAATGTTCCTTAAAAAGGAGAGCTGATTTGAAATTAGTGTTTAAAGACGCGTCTAGTTATATATATGTCGTCTTCAGTCGCCAACTTGTATTGGTATCCCCTTACAAGATGCATCCATATGGAAGCAAGAGAATAAAATCTTCAGCTGGGTCATTTTTTAAACCCTAAAAAACAAAATTTGCGATAAAATTCAGAGCAGGCAGCACAGTAATACTTTTGATCCACCTTTCGCAACTCTGCAGAGTTTGTGTTGAATAAGCATCTCTGTGGAAGTTGTGGTTTTTGGGTCAGCAATTGATTTTTTAGCATTTTTTTTCGAAAATCATGACTCTTCACAGAGATGCTTATTTGCTACAGACTCTGTACTGTCGGAAAGTGTAGACCAAACTTCTAATTGCTTGCTGAGAATTTTAGCGCAAGTTCCAGATTTTTGCAGCCTAACTCATTATTCTCTTGCTTTCATTTCAAAAGCCTCCTTTTAAGCTTTTGCAAATCCTTAAGAGAGCAAGAAGAAGTTACGATTTACCACAAATGATGCGCAAGAACTTTTGCATCTACCTGATACTTTCACGTCTGTTCAGTACAAGAATCTATAAAAATCTCGCATCGCATTTCACGTCAGTACACTATAGAATACAGTTTTTGTTGATTCTGGTACTCTATTAATCATTTAGTTACTAGTTACTCAATGAAAACTTGCGCATGTATTGAATTCTGCACGTTACCAAGTGTTACTTTTGAAAGACTTGATTCTTCTAACGGGAAATCTTTCGAACTAGACTCCCAGAAGTCTTATCCTACATAAAAGGTCTGACCAGCGCCAGCGTAAATCAGAAACGATCCATGGGCTGCACCTTCTCCGGAGAATGTGTAGCTTTTCAAAAGTTACTTCGTGAGTTTTGAAATCATGCAAGTGAATCGCTTTTTAATGATTGAAGCAATTTTTGAAATTTTTCTAAAATCCATCAGCTGCGTAGAATTTTTCTTCGGGGCATAGTTACAAGCGCGTCCTCACTATTCAAAATTAAGCTATGGGCCCGAGAAAATCTTGAGATATATACCAAAATTTTCCAAGCTCTTTCTGCTACCCTCCCCCCCCCCCCCACCCTCCTAATTGCTCGGGCCTCCACTGTTGATCGCAGATGTTCAGGATCACCTTTTGTTACACCACATTCATACGAAGAACGCTAACCAAATCTTTTTCACTCAGAATCATCTTGAAGATTGCATTTCAAAGACGAGTGGTACACTGTTGTGAACTAAGCATGCATAATTCGCTTTGAGGGCGAGATTCATGCGTAAAGCTGAGCTGTATCCATGCAAATTGAGGATACAATAGCGCTCACATCTTTCGAAAAATAGATGCGAATGTAGCATAACTCATGCGAGGCGCATAAGTCACTCGGCGGTCGCATGAGTGATGCGACAGTCGCCTAATGCATGTACATCACCGTCGCATGGCCATATCTCGCTCCAGAGTGTACGAATTCTGAATCCAAAGCCAACATTCGATTCAGCTCGGCGCGGAGCATCTTCTGATATATTGAAAGTGGGGGTACGATGTCTTCGATATTCCGTTTCCATTTTTTTCAAATTCTTCTGCGGGGGTCCTTTCGCGAATATGTGATGCAGCGCCTACCAACAGTTCATACAAGCACTCACGGTGGGATTTCGACGAAATCTGCGATTTTTACATTTTGAGCAAAACTCATGAGGACGTGTTTTCGTAGGCTCGTAACTCGGCGATTTTTATAGACTGGAGCCTGAGTCATGCACCATTCGATGGCACACTTCCTAGCAACTTTGACTTAGAAAAGCAAACAGGCAAGTTTTCTGACAGATACGCGAGAAGTGCGGGCAAAGTTACGCACTTTGATGCAGTTACAGTCACCTAACCGTACCTCTCCAAAAAGACCGTGTGATCCTCAAAGACCACGATTTTCGTAAGGAACGTGTTCGAAAAGCTCTAAAGCGAAATTTCCTTACAATTCAAGAGCATCAACATTTTGACAAAAATCCGTCGGAGAGATTCCAGAACATCAAACGAGAAAAAACGAAATAATCCGAACACATCGGAAAACTGGCCCATAGAGGTTATCCGACCTGCTAATTTCGAAACTCACATCTGCTTAGCAAGATAACTTCGTATCCTGCGGCTATGGCGAGTAGAATTTGGGACGACAAGATTTTCCCACGCTTCACCAGCCCTTCTATTTCTCTGAAAAGAAAATTGCGTCTACTATTTAGCGCATCATAATCTATAGAAAAATACTATCGAAAGGTCATTGCTGAAACTTAGAACTAGTAGAACTTGGAGCGTGATTTTTCCAGAATTCACCAACGCTTCTGTCTCTTTTGGAAAGAAGCCTGAGCCTATTTTTTAGCGCACAACAATCTACAAGAATATTATCGAACAATGCTTACTGGAATCCTTTATGTTACACAGACGCTGCGTTACATCCTTGCGAAAGGACCTCACAGAAAAATTCGAGAAAACTGGAAACGGAATATCTAGGGCATGCTGTACATCAAAAGATTTGCCTTGACGATCTGAACAAAATTCTGCTTCCGGAAATTTTCATTTATTGCGAAGGAAGCTATATCGTTGCGTATTCTGCGTGAATCCCGTAATTCCGCGGATCCTAGAATGTCGCGACTTCCAGAAATATCGCGGACATTGGAGGAAATCTCGGAATTCCGCTAGACTCACCGGAATTCTGCATATTCTGTGAGCGGTATTGTGATCTTGAGCAGATTTTGGAGTAAATTCGATTAGGCTGACTCTCTACCATGCTCCTACAGCATACTTTCTATGTTTCATCAGCGACAAATAAATGACAATACTATTATTAGCACATTGAACAATCCAACCAAACAAAAATCTGCAAAACTGAGCGAAAACTTACTGTCTATCTTATACCTATCTTATCTCGCTATATTGCGGCACTCCTATATACCGGATGATGCGTCTCGCCGTGCTGAATCGAACGGTGTCCTTTCAGAATTCATAAATTCTGAAGCGAGGTATGGCGATGCGACGCGGGTTCCGATGGACTCTAGTGATGTGCGGCGCACTCCGCTGCTCTCCGGCAATGCGTAGACTAATTGCGTGATAATTCCTTTAGAAAGCGGAATGAATCCTTAACAGATCTGTTCCGCGTATGTCAGAGACACTTCGTGTGGAATAATATGGTCTAAATTCTCACTTTTTATCACCATGTACAGTATGTTACAGCCCGAATTGAGCCGATGTGTAAAGGCGCGTAACCGACTCGCAATAATAGAATAGGGTTATATGAGAACGTATGAGAACATCAAAGAAAAAGAAAGCAAAAGTAAAAAGAGCTTTTACTCATACTGGTTTCTAAGCTAAAGACCAATTTTGCGTCCTTTCTTTGTGCCCCGGGTTTACAACCCTTTTATCTACCCAAGGAAGGTAACGAATGATCTGAAGCAAAATAGATGAAAACAGAGTGATGTCACGCAGCGTTGCCGCGACAGTATGTCATACCGTGTTAAGAACCCATCCGAAATTACCGCACTTCTCCAACTCGCTCCAAATTTTAGAAGCTGAGAAAATCGTTTGACGCAACAAAGGAAAATGAGATCCTATGAGGATCGCGTGAGCAGTAACTGCAAATCTACGAAAGTTCACGATCAGACACAATTTATAATCTGGGCATTCTCGCACACGCCTAGCGTTTGTTTTTATATTTTCCCTTGCGATTCTCGTTCAGTTTTGGAGTGGAATCCGAAAGAAATACTAGCCGTTTGTTAAAAAATCGACTGCTGATAACCAGCAATGAAAGCAAGTACGGTATTCATACACTGTTAGTGTAAGCATAGTTTAAAGATTTACAACATTTATTGGGCTAACGTTTGGGACTAGTCACCTTCGCCAGAGCCAAAAAGTGAGCAACATCAAAATAGTCCCAAACGTCTATTCACATGCAGGGAAAAGCCTCAGAAGTTTATTGAAACCCCGTTTAGGACTAAAACTATTGACTTTTGCTGTCACAATGAGATTGGTTAAAGTGAAACAATCTGGTCGATAATTCAAAATTCATCAAAAAACATGGAACATCATGCAAAGTAATGCAAAGTATGACTACTGTTCTATCTGAGATATCTCTTAAACTGTGATTTTCTGCAAGGAAAATGTCAGTGTTTCATGTTTATCATGTTAATGTTATCCGTTCCAGGAATTTTCACTGTAAATAGATGCTAATGTTATCCGATCCAAGAGTTTTCACTGTGAATACAGTACCGTGAATCATAGCCGGATCATCACACATTCCTTAGCATTCACCCACATATTTTCTTATATGTTCTCGCTATGACGATCACGAAATATCGTTTGAATACAAGAGAGTGTTATAGTATATAAGCCGCCTGTTAAAGCACTGGCTGCTCTTGCGTTTTATTTTCCTTATTGCTTAAGCACTATTCAGCGAGGTTAGTGGTTGCATGCCCAGGCACATGAATGCCTCAAGTTGTTGTTTACTATTAACTCGATTACCCACTATCTGACTGTTTCACAGATGTGGCAAAACCGAGGTGGGAACGACTCCTGGCAAAACAGGAGCGCAAATGACTCCTGGAACCGAAGCGGAAATGACTCGACTCTGAACAGTAATTTGTGCTCTGTAAAGTAAGGTGAGTACGTAGACAGCTCTTGCTTTCCAGACAGCTCTAAGAGCTCTGATGCCTCAACCGCTCTCTCACTAACGAATCCACCAATGCAACGTCTACGATTGGACAACAGCCTTTGGGGTTAGTTAGCAAATTAGATTGACAGTCTAGGATACTTTTGAAGCAACATGTTGGAGATACTGTGAAAGCACCGCAGATAATCATACAACTTACAGTCAGCACCTGGACTATAGGCGATTCATCACACGCAGAGAAAGACAGATTGCCATTCAAATGCAGCATCCACCTAAATTTCCATCTTGCATATTTTATCATGGCTCTTTTCGTGGCCACAATTACAGATATGAATCGCGTAATATGCAAACCTCTCCCTCCCCCCTCCCCCCCAAAAAATCCGATTTGTGGGAGCTCTCCTGAAGATGGAGGCAAGTTTAGTACTCGGCTGGGAGCTTCGGCCATGATTACAAATGAGCGCAGAATATGCAACCCCCCCCCCTCCCTTCCCTTCCCAAAATCCCAAAGAATGTTAGGGGTGGAGAGATTCCAGCGCAGTTTCTTAATCGGCTCCTATATAACGTCCTTCTGCGAAAAGGCATGCTGAAGCGAGAAAACTACTCTGGTTATATCGGCAGGTCAAACTTTACCCATCAACGTGGTTAATCCATAAAGATTGGGCAGAAAAATAGGTTTAAAGTGACAAAAAGTATCCAAAATCTCAATAGACGTAAAGGCGAAGAGACGAATGCGCGAAGCAATGTAGTTGACCGGGCGCAAAAGCGGCAAGCGCGTATCCTCACTGTTGTGAATGCCCCTCATGCGCATGGCGGCTTATAAAGCCGTGTTCGCTTTCAAATATTGCGCCTTCGACATGTGGCATCCTATACATATATTAGTGTGAATAAGCCTTTTCTGCCTTTGAAGACGATTTAGCCGAAATGGCAGGTAGTAAAAATCTATCATCTTCGTCGACTTCTACACTAATTTCCCATAAATGATACTTCAATATTTCTGTTTACTCCAGCAAGTTTTTTTATTCAGGCTAATAATCTTTAGACCATCCGCTTTATTGGTAGGACTATCCCTACCGCTTCTCTTCTTTAGCAAGCTTTACGCTCTTGTTTTATTATAAAACTTGCGCAGCTACTTACTGACACTCACTCGTACTGACTACTTATCCAAGCGCAATCACCAATCCAAATTAAGAACCCCGCCTCTAAAGTTGATAAAAATTGAGAACTTCGTTGCTGGAACTTTGCCCATAATTACGATCTGAAATCTTAAAACGTCAAGAACTGAATATACGATTACAGAGAGATCAACTAGCAGTGGATGGAACACGTCGTCGAATGATTCATCTGGCGTACGTTTCTGACGTCTTCCACTTTTGAATCACTTTGACGATCAACGTCTTTTCAGCTATTTTCTTCATCGAACACGACGTCCGAAGCGCCTCGTGGTCGGGCGACCTCAACCCCCATTAGGGGACACGACGACGTATGTTTTTTCCTGAATAAATATTTGCACTCAAAGGTGCGCCATCGTAACCACCGTCCCACTCCAAGCAAGGTTAGGATTACCCACAATTCAATAATGTGCCCCGGTTTCAACCAGAATGTCGCCTGCTCATACGATTTGGATTCCACGCGACCGCCTCGCTCCACTTCACACAGCGTCGCGAATGAATTCTTTGAACATCAATTGTACTCGCAAGCTCACAACATCGCGCTCTCATAACTTTGATTCGAAAGTTCGCCGAAAATGAATTTGCAACGTCCAACGCTTAACATTTTTGGTAACAAAGTGTCGAATTGAGCTGTACTCATGAGTACCCTCTCAAAAGAATTCGAAAAATACAAAAAATTTCAACATTTCAATTCGGGACAGAGTATTAAGGCAGCTCAATCGCCTTCAAAAGTTGAGCACAGTTGTTGCGGATATAAAATCCAGGCTCTTAGATGGTGTTTCCGCTACTTGTGTGATTTGCGTAATTTCACTGAGTCAACGGATTGTCGCCAATAAATCAATGTGTAATTTCTGTTTTGCACTTTTGAGCGGTGTCGTATTTTTAGTTACTTTTTAGCCATAATTACTGCGCAATCAAAAGTCCACGTTTTTCTAAACCTAAACCGGAATTTTGCCAAAGGTATTTTCGTACAATTGAATTTCATTGCAGGCCAGGGTCAGCTTCGGACCCGGACTGTCCCCTATCCGTTCTCGCTCAGATGAATCCTGGAGAAGAACCACATATACAGGTCCGTCATTACTGTTTTATGCAGCTGGTCAAGCACAAACATTTTAGAAAGTACACGTTCAAGCAAATCCGATGAAAGCAATGTGTATCACAAAAGAATGAGAAAACATTAGGTGAGTAAAATCACATGTTCCTCCGACAAAACCTTTCTAGAACAAATTTCAGTTTGTTAAAATTCACTAAAATACATGCACGCTTTTGCTAGAAATACTGCTAATGTTTGGGATTTCTTATCTTCCTACAGGTGCATCCGACCTAAAAGAAAAGAAATGTATGAAACGAATGCAAGCAGTGATTTGTCCGAGCGGACTAATGTAGACACTAAAGATTGATACCGTAGTCTACTCATTTTTATTTGTATTTGTATTTGCACTTGTCCACGATTTCAATATATCAGATTTTTGCGATACTAGCGCCTCTCCACACAGCACTGTCTCGATAAAAATGAAGATTTTCAATTCCTCAATTCCTTTATTTTCGCACAACAAATTTCGCTCTTTTCTGGTGGAGAAGAAAGCGAAATTCGTTGTTCGAAAATAATGGCTCGATCAAAAGAGATGAACATCACGAAGAACCTAATCACTTGATTGCGGCTCATTCTCTTTTCTAGCTCTATCTTTCTCGATTCAAGACTGAAATGGTCAGTCGTAGTGATTTTGCTGCAACAGTTTAGATTTATAGCCTAAATCAAGAATCCAGTAATTTTCACCCTTTATCTCTGACTTGTGGCCCTGTTGGAAAACGTCTTAGGAGGAGTCTTTACAAGAACACAACTCTTATTTATTTTAGTATGACAGAGCAAGCATTGCTGAGATGAAAGTAAGACTTTACATAGAGGCAGTGTTCTGCATTCCAAGAAGTTACTTCTGTATTTCAATGACACCTCTACCAAATTGCTGCAAGGACGGAATTATGAAAGATCTGTCTGTGTAGCAGCAAAGCCAATTTTCCAATTGCTATACGAGGTAAACAGACGGGCGGACGGCGTACGCATGTCCTCTAGAGCGCAATTGGCTCATGAGTGGAGACACTGTACCTACCGTAACCACGAGTCCATCGCGCTCGAGAGAACAGACATATGCGGTCCGCCTAAATCCGCCCGAATATTTCACGCCTGGAAAAAGGGGGTTATTAATATCTTTTGAAGCTGCAAAGCACGGTTTTGAACTTAGCTCAGCCAGGGGAACCGAGAACAATGAATATCCCAAAATTGTCATTCTGCCGAGCCGCTGCCTTAGAGCCGAAATTAATCGTTTTTGACCTTATCGCGTAAACGTGGTAATGTATTCCTTTTGATATTGAACACTGTTTTGCAAATCACTTTCCAAAACCCAAAGTTGTCATAGTAAGGGACGTTCTGCGCTTTTGGGCGCTTTTGAGTGCTTTTGGTCGAAGCACAGGAGGCATGGGAGGTCTCTGAGACTTCAGCTTATATCTGCTACGAATATGTTGGGTTTTTCGTCGCTTTCAAAAATCTCTTGTCGTGCAATTAATAGAGGGTTTCTCAGTGCCCACTGCTGAGGATACACCTCGTCAACGTCATCTCCGATGTAAGACCCATTGAAACAAGAAAGACGAACATTCCGACGAACTGGGCGTGTTGTAGAGTAATCGTCGAAGTTGCCTTTATCGTAGCGAACTTGGAAAATACCGCACAGAAGCTTTCCCGTAAAAATGTCAGAGAAACCAGGTCAAAGAGCTGCTAATCTACGACGATTCTCAAGTTTTGAGAACTCCTCATGTAATCTTCACTGGAAACTTCAAATAATCAAATCAAACGTTTCTTTCGTATCGAGCTAACAAGGAAAGGATACTTGGTGACCCTGGCCTTTTGAAATGAAACGTACACTACTAAATCCATCTTGAAGCGCTGATTCCAAATCTGTTTTCATTATCTGCTGTGCGCTCTTCCGAAAGAAGTTATAAGCATTTCTTATCACCAAAGTTTGCAATGTTTTTGATGCAAGATTCACCAATATGGTTAGAATGTACGCTTACGCACTACAAAAGAGCGTACTGATAAAGTTAAGTTCAGGAAAACTGCCACCAATACATCAGAGTCTAAAAAGCCTGGATACTGACGATTTTGACCGCCTAAATCTCGCAAAATCAATATGGAAAAAGGTCCAAAATTTCGTTCAAGGAGTCGCACAGCAGATATTAAGCATAGATTTAGAATCAGCGTTCCAAGACGCACCTACTGGTATACATCTCATTGCAAAAGGCCACGGTCACCAGGTATCCTTCCCTCGTAAGCAAAATCAAGTTTTGAGGTACACTGAAATTGCAAGAAAATCTCAATAGCAATAAAAAAAAATGGTAGCAGTATCAAAAATCAAAAATCATAACGGTAGCAAAGTATTTATACTATACCCACCAGCAATGAAAGCAGAAAAACATTGTTGTACTCTTAGTGCTATAGTTGAAACTTCATTCTGTTTTTTATATATTGTTTGTCTCAGCGATCAATCTGACGGAATTTCGCATGTCAATCCTCCAAACATGGAGATTTCTCAATAAAATGCAATCAGCAGATTTTTGAAACTCAACTCCAGTCATAACTCTTTTGACTGTGGAACTCTTGAATCCGCTTCCAAGTTTTGAGAAACAGAACCTTTTTTGCTATTTCTCTACGTAAAAATATATCTATCAGATCTTCTGCTAAACAAAACTGGGGAACATGGGAATGCTTCTTCACTTTGGAGACTATAAATTCGAACCAACTGATAATGTGTTTTCTCTTTTGTAGTTAAGGACATTGTTCTAATTTCTGTTTCTATTTTTCAAATGCCATATGTTCATTGTTGAATTTTGATGTTTTTCTATTTTTAATGCCTGGCTTTTTTTCTTGTTCATTTTCTGATCATATTGAGGAAATTAGATCTTACTCTTCTGTAAATTACAATATAAATCTTTATTCTTCGTTTTTCATTCGATGTGTTCACTTGTGCCAGCTTTGCTCCTACTATGTTGTCGAATTGTCAACAGTATGCACTGTTGCACGTGGAGATAAGTTTTGCTGCGTTATACCTGTAGAGGGCGGGTAAAAGTCACTGATCAAGAGTTAGCACTGACCATGTCGACAGTTTCTGTAAGTACTCCACTTGTTTTATAATGATAGACAAGACAGCACCGTCTAAAATATGGTAGCGACTTGCCCAAAATATGGTAGCTTTAAGCAAATGAACTCACTTTTTTGTATTACTTAGACCTCATAATCCATCAAAAAGTGTTCGTCAAACTTTCCGTGGTATCGCATATTGCTTCAACGTGGACGGATTCCAAACCCGAGCGTACCGTTCGACTCAGCTCTGCGAAAAGCATCTTCAAATTCCATGAAGGCTCCTCTTTGGATACGATCCGTGGACGATTGGCAGCCAGATTAAACGAACCTTTTTATGCAATAAACTTGAATAAAGCAAGGGTAACAATCTCACGAAATTGCCTACTTAGGAGACCTTGCACGTGCTCTGAATTTCAAGCCTGTAAGTGAAAGAGCTATTGACTAGCATCCGCAAATTACTCTCTAACAAAACAGTTTTGACAGAGTGACACTAGCAATTCTGGGATCAGATCTAAGCGTTTGATTATTGAACTTATCCTTTTACCATGTCGAACTCATTACAAGTGGGAGACAGATCACTACTTCTTCGGGCCATCAACTTATCACGAGGTATACGAGTTTTTATCTTGGAGAGTTCAAAAACGACCTTTTTCCATAAGCAAAGCAACTGGATGGAGTTGTCGTCAACTGATGACTACTTCAAAGACTTTCAGTGTAACTCTCCGAACAAGCACATTTAAGTGAGAACGTCCTGGCTTTAACAAGCAAAACTGGTAGATTATCTCTTAGAAAGTGACAGCATGCCTTCAATAAACCTTCACTCAATCGGTGTTCTTCGGCTTTCAAAATCTATCAACTGCTGTCTATAAATGTATCCAAAATTTTGGAGCATTCAAAGCTCTGTTTTTGTATAATGAACGTCTCCATCTCAATATAAGTTACGTGCAAAAAAAAAGAAGTAAATGTGTGATATCGAATTGGAGCCGTCAACTATAACTAAGTTTTGACAGATTAACATTAGAGGTTCTGGGATTAGGTTTAGACATTTGGTCATATCGGGTAAAATATATTGAATTCAGGATGACTTGACACTTTTGCATTTGTTCAACGGATTTTTTTTCAACACCCCTATGCATCATTTTATGTATAACAGCACTCGTATCATCAATATAATAACATCAATGTCAATGTATATATCTGAACAAGACTCAAAAGTTCCAAGAACGACTGATGCTGTAGATGTTGCTTGAATGTTAGCCAGTATATTTCCTTCTGTATGAAAATCTAAGAGGAAAACAGCTAACGACGCAGGTAGGCCACACTTCAAATCTAGAAGAAACACGAAAAGCACATCCAGGAAATAGTTGTAAGTTGTGTCCTATTTTGTACCACGCTCAGTCGCCGGAAGTAGTGAATAGGTCTATGCAAAAGTTCTTCCGCATCATTTTTGAGTAATCATGACTTCTTGCTCTTTCAACGGTTTTGCGCAAACTTGATTTTCCTAGGTGGAGGAAACCCTTTCCTTTGTGATAGTGCCTTTTTGCTTTCTATTATAATAAGGGGTGGCTCTAACTAGGGAAGGATAGTCCTCCATACTCCAACATAAGTTGGCAATTGTGGACGACATGTATATCACTAGAAGCATCTCTAAACGCTGATTCCAAATGTGCTTTCCTTTTTTTGCGAAACGACTCTATCCGAAGGAAATTAGAGCGTATAAATGTCCAAATTCGCCGAGCATTAAGTGCCTTAAATTTATCGAAAAGCTCCAAAAACCCCTACGCGGATTTTCACCGGCTTTGCTCTTCTCTTACAGATTTGAGTACCCACTTTTAGAGGTTTTTGTACATTCGCCAGTTTTAGGCCACCTGGAGCTTGATAATTGGACATGTGAAAACGCATAACTTTTTTCGCAAAGTTGTTCCTTAGAAAGGAAAAGCTAGAGATTTACACGCCAACTTGTGTTGGTATTCCCCTTACAAGATGCATCCATATGGAAGCAAGAGAATAAAATCTTCAGCTGGGTCATTTTTTAAACCCCTAGAAAACAAAATTTGCGATAAAATTCAGAGCAGGCAGGCACAGTAATGCTTTTGATCCACCCTTGCCAACTCTGCGGAGTTTGTGTTAGATAAGCATTTCTGTAAAAGTTACGATTTTTGGGTTAGCAATACAAAGCAGCAAATTTAGTTTTCACATTTTTTTTCGAAAATCATGACTCTTCACAGAGATGCTCATTTGCTACAGACTCTGTACTGTCGGAAAGGGTGGAACAAAATTCTAATTGCTTGCTGAGAATTTTACCGCAAATTCCAGATTATTGCAGCTTAACTCATTATTCTCTTGCTCTCATTTCAAAAGCTACTCCTTTTAAGCTTTTGCAAATCCTTAAGAAAGTAATTCAAGCATTCGTCATCCTCATACACCTAGAGTACCAAACTACCAGTATCTCTTCTTCTTCTTATAAGTCAATCAGTTTCCACCTCATGCCAACTTCACTTAGCAAAAATCCTCAAGACAGATGGACTCATCTTTGTACTTTAGTTATTCGAAATGTCCACATGTCCAGAAGTAACAAAAGGTAGCGGCAAGTGAGTAATAAAGTACAACGCACATCAAGTCGCGATTTTGTATCTATAACTAGAACAATGGCATATACGGCAGACATTCAACGGTTATAGACTTGCACTTATTCATGTTATTCATCCGTGGAGTCTTTGCAGATATCCAAAAGGCTTTTAATTTCTCATATTACATGCTTCAAATGCTAAAATAAATCTGCCGCCATACAAATCCTGTACGGTGCCCAGGTTAAAAAAAGCGGAACTTGGAAAAAAATTTTTTTGTACTAGCAAGGAAGCAGACTTCACATCAATGATCTCAAATTGATTAGTAAAGGATAATTTATTGAGTTTCTCGACTTTCAAGAAGAATGGAGGAAAATTAGTTTGTGAGTACTTTTACTATTCCATTATAGTTTTCTTCAAAACCTAAGCCAATGACGAAATTGGGCTACAACCTTGATGAAATCATCACACCAGACTGCTATGGAATGCGTAGACTGATTGCGTGAAAATTCCTTTAGAAAGCGGAATGAGACCTGAACAGATCTGTTCCTTGTATGTCAAAGACTACTTCGGGTGAAATAATAAGGTCTAAATTGTCACTTTTTATCATCATGTACAGTATGTTACAGCCCAAATTGAGCCGAAGTGTAAAGGCACGTAACCGACTCGCAATAATAGAATGGGATTATATGAGAACGTATGGTAACGAATGATCTGAAGGAAAATAGATGTAAACAGAGTGATGTCACGCAGCGTTGCCGCGACAGTATGTCATACCGTGCTAAGAACCCATCTGAAATTACCTCGCACTTCTCCAACTCGCTCCAAATTATAAAAGCTGAGAAAATTGTTTGACGCAACAAAGGAAAATGAGAAGGTTCTATGAGGATCGCGTGAGCAGTAACTGCAAATCTACGAAACTTCACGATCAGACACAATTTATAACATCTGGGCATTCTCGCACACGCCTAGCGTTTGTTTTCATATTTTCCCTTGCGATTTTCGTACAGTTTTGGAGTGGCATCCGAAAGAAATACTAGTCGTTTACTGAGTAATCGACTGCTGATAACGAGCAAAGAAAGCAAGTACGGTAGCCATACCACTGTTCCTATAAGCATGGAATAAAGATTATTACAGCATTTATTGGGCTAACGTTTCGGACTAGTCACCTTCGCCAGAGCCAAAAAGTGAGCAACATCAAAATAGTCCCAAACGTCTAATCACATGCAGGGAAAAGCCTCAGAAGTTGATTAAAACCCCGTTTAGGACTAAAACTATTGACTTTTGCTGTCAAATAAGATTGGTTAAAGTGAAACAATCTGATCGATAATTCAAAATTCATCAAAGAACATGGAACATCATGCAAAGTAATGCAAAGTATAACTACTGCTCTATCTGAGATATCTCTTGAACTGTGATTTTCTGCAAAGAAAATGTCAGTGTTTCATGTTTATCATGTTAATGTTATCCGTTCCAGGAATTTTCACAGTGAATAGATGCTAATGTTATCCGATCCAAGAATTTTCACTGTGAATACAGTACCGTGAATCATAGCCCAATGATCAGATTCCTTAGCATTCATCCGCATATTTTTTATATGTTCTCGCTATAATGATCACGAAATATCGTTTGAATACAAGAGAGTATTATAGTATATAAGCCGCCTGTTAAAGCACTGGCTGCATTTCTTGCATTTTATTTTCCTTATTGCTTAAGCCTATTCAGCGAGGTGAGCGGTTACATGCCCATTATGGCAAAAAACAATTTCAGAAAACTTAGAAACAGGCACAATTAATGACTCAAGTTGTTGTTTACTTTTAACTCGACTACAACAGATGTGGCAAAACCGAGGTGGAAACGACTCCTGGCAAAACAGGAGCGGGAATGATTCTTGGAACAGAAGCGGGAATGATTCTTGGAACAGAAGCGGGAATGACTCAACTCTGAACAGTAATTTGTGCTTTGTAAAGTAAGGTGAGTACGTAGACAGCTCTTCCTTTTCAGACAGCTCTTCGAGCTCTGACGCATCAACCGCTCTATCGCTAACGAATCCACCAATTCAACGCCTACGTCTGGACAACAGTCTTTGGGGTCAGTGTAGCAAATTAGATTAACAGTCTAGGATACTTCTGAAGCAACATGTCGGAGAAAATGCTCTGAATGCACGCAATAATTATACAACTTACAGTCAGCACAACTGGACTATAGGCGATTCATCGCACGCAGAGAAAGACAGGTTGCCATTTAAATGCAGCATCCACCTAAATTTCCATCTTGCATATTTTGTCATGGCTCTTTTCGTGGCCACATTTACAGATATGAATCGCGTAATATGCAAACCGCTCCCTCCCCCCCCCCCCCTCCCAAAAAAATCTGATTTGTGGGAGCTCTATCCTGAAGGTGAAGGCAACTTTAGTACTCGGCTGGGAGATTCGGCCATGATTACAGATGAGCGCAGAATATGCAAATCCCCCCCACCCCGTCCCCAAAATCCGATTTTAGCTCCCAAAGAATATTAGGAGTGGAGAGATTCCAGCGCAGTTTTTTAGCCGGCTTCTATAATTAACCGTCCCTATGCGAAAAAGCATGCTGAAGCGAGAAAACTACTCTGGTTATATCGGTAGGTCAAACTTTACCAACGTGGTTGATCCATAAAGATAGTGGGCAGAAAAATAGGTTTAAAGTGACAAAAAGTATCCAAAATCTCAATAGACGTAGAGAGACGAATGCGCGAAGCAGTATAGTTGAGCGGGAGCGAAAGCGGCGCGCGCGTATCCTCAACGTTGTACAGTCGGTTTCATCCCGGATTAGGCGAGACATTCTACGTGGAGCAGCGCATGCGCATCGCTGAAGGCTTCGCGAGCGCATAGCGCTGGCATTTTACCAAGCAAAGACTAAGGAGATTGAAGAGACGCAGACATGGGTTCTCAGCACGATAGGATATACTGTAGCTGCGAAACGGCGCGAGCTGTTGCGAGGCGGACTCCCGCCAGTCCAATTTCCGCCTAGAGCGGGTCGAAACTTACTGTAAATGCTCCTCATGCGCATTGCGGCTCATAAGGCCACGTTTGCTCTAAAAATTCCGCCTTCGACATGTGGCAGCCTATACGTATATTAGTGTGAATAACGCCTTTTCAGCCTTTGAAGACGATTTAGCCGAAATGTCAGGTAGTAAAAATCTATCATCTTCGTCGAATTCTACACTAATTACCCATGAATGACACTTCAATATTTCTGTTTACTCCAACAAGTTTTTTTTCTTCAGGCTAATAATTTTTAGACCATCCGCCTTATCGGTAGGACTATGACTATCTCTGCCGCTTCTTTTCTTTAGCAAGCTTTACGCTTCTGGTTTTATCATAATACTTGCGCAGCTGCTTACTGACACTGGCTCGTACTGACTACTTATCCAAGCGCATTCACCAATCCAATAAGAGCCCCGCCTCCAAGGTTGATAAAAATTGAGAACTTCGTTGTTTGGAACTTTGCCCATAATTACGATCTGAAATCTTAAACGTCAAGAACTGAATATACGACTACAGAGAGATCAACTAATAGTGGATGGAACACGTCCTCGAACGATTCATCTGGCGTATGTTTCTTATGTCTTCCACTGAATCACTTTGACGAACAACATGCTTTACAGCTGTGGACTTCATCGAACACGACCTCCGAAGCGCCTCGTGGCCGGGCCACCTCAACCCCTATCAGGGGACACGATGACGTATGTTTTTTCCTGAATAAATATTTACACTCAAAGGTGCGTCATCGTGACCACAGTCCCACTCCAATCAAGGTTAGGATTACCTACAACTCAATGATATTCCCTCGGTCTCAATCAGAATGTCGCCAGCTCGTACAATTTGGATCCCACGCGAGTTGTACTCGCAAGCTCATAACATCGCGCTCTCATAACTTAGAATCGAAAGTTCGCGAAAATGAATTTGCAACGTCCAACGCTTAACATCTTTGATAACAAAGTGTCGAATTGAACTGTACTCATGAGTACCCTCTCAAAAGAATTCGAAAAATACAAAAAATTTCAAAATTTCAATTTGAGACAGAGTATTAAGGCAGTTCAATCGCCTTCGAAAGTTGAGCACAGTTGTTGCGGATCTAAAATCCAGGCTCTTAGATGGTGTTATGGCACTACGTAATTTGCGTGATTTGCGTAATTTCGCTGAATCAACGGATTGTCGCCAATAAATCAATGTGTAATTTCTGTTTTGCACTTTTGAGCGGTGTCTTATTTTTAGTTACTTCTCAGCCATAATTACTGCGCAATCAAATGTCCACGTTTTCCTAAACCTGAAGCAGAATTTTGCTAAAGGTATTTCCGTACAATAAAATTTCATTGCAGGTCAGGGTCAGCTTCGGACCCGGACTGTCCCCCATCCGTTCTCGCTCGGATGAATCCTGGAGATCGACCACACATACAGGTCCGTCATTACTGTTTTATGCAGCTGGTCAAGCACAAACATTTTAGAAAGTACACGTTCAAGCAAATCCGATGAGAGCAACGTGTATCACAAAAGAATGAGAAAACATTAGGTGAGTAAAATCACATGTACCTCCGACAAAACCTTTCTAGAACAAATTTCAGTTTGTTAAAATTTACTCAAATATATGCACGCTTTTGCTAAGAAAGAGTGTTAGTGTTTGGGATTACTTATCTTCTTACAGTTTCACATCATCCGACTTAGTAGAAAACAAATGGATGAACCGATTTCAAGCAATGATTTGTCCGAGCGGACAGCGTAGACACTGACGATTGATACCGTAGTCTACTCATTTTTATTTGTATTTGTATTTGTTCACGATATCAATAAATCAGATTTTTGCGATACTAGCGCCTCTCCCACACAGCATTGTCTCGAAACAGACAACATTATGTTTCTCAGCCAAAAACGAAGACTCTCAACCAAAAAAGAGCGAAATTCGCTGTACGAAAATAAAAAGACTCGATCGAAAGAGGTGAGCATCACAAAGAAACTAATCTCGGATTGCAGCCCATTCTCTATTCTAGCTCTATCTTGATTCATGACTGAAATGGCCATTCATAGTGATTTTGCTGCAACAGTTTAGTATTTTGATATAAGGAACAAGCATCGCTGATTTGGAAATAAGACTTCAAATAGAGCCAGTGTTCTGTATTCCAACAAGTTACTTCAGTTATTTCAATGACAGCTCTACCAAACTGCTGTAAGGACTGAATTATGAAAGATCTGTCCGTGTAGCAGCAAAGCCTATTCTATACCAACTGCTATACAAGTAGACAGATTTGTTTGATGGCGAAAAGTTATGGTTCATGACGAAGAATTTCGTTCCAGCCTGATATAAGGTCCGAAAGTGTTCTGACATAAATCGGATTGTCGCTAAAGTTTTTATATATGATTTTCGTGCAGGGCTTCCTGGGGGAACTACTGATGAAAGGACATCAAGTCCGGGGGCACCCAGGAAGTCGCTCCGAAACCGGGATGCAAAAACGATATCCATCATTAACACATAAGCTATCTTTAATAAGAACATCCTTTGCTGTCATCTTTATAAAAATCCTTCCTAAGAGTCTCTTCTATTGAGATCATGATTCTGCATCCAATTATTAGAATGGGCTCCAAAACGTGGAAGACGACGAACCACGAGCTTTGTCTGTCACCAGTTAATCTTTGTAGCAACTAAATCATTACACTTACAAGAACAGTGGTATGGCTATGGTACTTGCTTTCATTGCTCATTATCAACAGTCGATTACTCAATAACCGGCTAGTATTTCTTTTCTTTCCGATCCCACTCCAAAACTGAACGAAAATCGCAAGGGAAAATATGGAAACATACGTTGGGGGTGAGGCTGGATCGTAAAGTTTAGTGAGTTTGCAGGCACTGCTCACGCGATCCCCATAGAATCTTCCTAGTTTTCGTTGTCCTGTAAAACGCTTTTCTGCGATCAGATGTTACCTTCCAAAATTTAAAGTGTTTCGAAGAAGGGTTAATCTCGTTTGCTATAGTGCTATAGGCTTAGAGTCGTCCTGAGCAATGCCCGCAGCCATTGAACGTCTCCCCCATAAGCACTTAATACAACATGTGCAAAGCCTTCAAATAACTTGATTAGCCGTGGATAAATGCAAAGCTTATGGGCTTGGTCAATTCAGTAAAACTTCGTGCTGCAGTTGTGCTGTTTTGACCTGTAAAAACTCGAGAGGAGGATCTATGCTCTACCTCATGATATAATGATTCACTTGAGGGGAGGGGAGGGGTATGTACAATCCCATGATCACAATGGAGTTCCTGATCGTGTCAGTGCTTGACCAGGCATGGCCACCAGTGCCCGCAATCCGTGCAAGTATAACAATATCTTGGTCCAAGTGTTGCCCCATCGGACCTGCAGCGAAGGAGGCGGGTACGCCAAGAACTTACGACTTGTATCTCGGTACTCTAAAACGTTATCAACTGTCTGCCCATTCCTCGAACAACTACTACTCTGAATATCTGAGCACAGTGATTGAAAGCGCATTGCCAGACAAACTGAAAATCTTTTTTGTCAAGATTCCCTGGGGCGATCCACAAACCGCCGCTCTTTCACAAAGCCATTTATCTTCTCGAGGAACTCAACACTAAGAATTTGTGGTGTTGGTCTGCTATGACAGTGCTCTTAGGTAAAACAAATGATTTGGAATTTATGAGATCCTCAATAAACCCGTACTGACATGCAGTGGTTCATCACAGAGTTCGCAATTCTAAGTGGTTAGGAGCCCTAGGTCTCCGGCGATTAGGAAGTAAATGCATATCGTAGAATCGATTTAGAGCTGATTCAAATTCTAACTTCCGTATCTGTCCTCTATAAGAAGTTACGAGTGTTTGAAGGTCCAAGTTTAGCAATAGTAAAAAAAATCAAGTCTATGAACGCCGAAAAACAACTTCACTTCAAAACTTCTGCGAATAAGAGTTTTTTTGCGGAAATAAATTGTGTAAGCTCCTTGCAGCAAACGAGATTTAGAGCTCGTGGTAAAGCCTTGGTAGAAGTTTGTTGCAAGAAATAGTAGCGCTTTTAATTTTCTCAAACAAAATTCTTAGCATATTGTATTGAGTCGTTTCACGAATTCATAGAGTTTTTATAAAATAACAAAATGAAAGAATTTTTATCAAAATGGCCAATGTTCCGTTTTTGTCCATAACTTTCTGCCACCTTGTCGTCACGTTTTCACATGAATTTTGCAAAAGTTTTGGAAATCTGCTCCCAAAAGAGTCTCCTAACCTGCGCTTGAGTTCGTCTCCAGATCGAAGCGAACGAGGTTCGTGATTTGTTACAGACAGAAACATTTAGACTGTCTTAGAGCGATACCTAAGGAGTATTTTGAATACTGACGTATCCTCCGTTCAAGCCTTGCAGGACAGCTCTGACGACGTTTGCCAAAATCATATCTTGTAGTGCAGGAAAACCCGCCGGATCTGTTTATTATTCTTTTCTGCACCAGGAATTCGCTTGAACGGTGCAACGGGGTTATGTTCGGTACGGGCTACCGCTCTGTTTCTACTTAGAAATATTTAGTGCAGTACTTTCAGCCCGTCCTCCCAAAAGTCTTGGTTAGGGGCACCTCGTTTAACCGTTAGCTTCTTGAAGTTTAGTTCTAATTCTTTCACTTCTCATATTAACATGCGAAATCCATTTAATCGGAAAAAAAACTATGGAGAAACGCTTCTTATAGGAAAAATTTCACAGATGTCGAAAATGCTTCTTCCTTTTTGGATAAGATTTTCATCGTTGGAAAGTGAGGAATTGGAGTAGATCTTTTCATTGAGTGCAACGAGTTCACTTAGAAGGGTATGCTCAGTTTTTCTTACTAATTGCGAATTTAGCCGCAAATCGACCGCCCTTCAAAGAAATGAGACGAGAATGAAAGCTCTACAAGTTGACAAATCGTCTCAGTTTTCCTGTAGACTCGTCGTTCGAAAGATATTTCATGAAGTGCGGAGACGAAGGACGTTACCTCATTCAAGTACTTTAATGTGTGTAGTCCATTCGGTGTCAAAAGGCCACGAGGGGTGAAGAATTCGTTTGTAACCAATTACAAAAAGCAGCAGACCAAGCTTTTGGAGAGGGATTCATATTTTCATTTCCTAAATCTGTTGGGTCTTCAGCAAATGTACAAAGAACTGGATTGTTTTCAAAACGTAGACATTAGAAAAAAAAAATGACGCTATAGCCTCGACTGTCTGTTTGCTTTCTGGAAAGCTGTCGAGAACTTGTTGTGGGTTAAGACGAGAGTTCTTCATTCTTAAGTGTTTGTGACATCTCTTGTTTCAACACTCTTGATAGCTCGCAACCCCATGTTGCCATGACATAACCCTGAATATGGATCAAAATACCATGTTGTAAGCTTGGTACACCCTAGTAAATGAGCCATGAAGAAGAAGATAGAGGAAGGATATCCTAAAATTTTCGAGGATGTGATTCTGTCCTTGTTCGGACTCAAAACATATTTATTGCCTCCTTTTGATTTTTTCTGTCTTTGACAATAACAATTCAACATCTGCAGTCGTTCTGTAACCATATATAGAAGCAGTGAAGCGGTAAAACCTCTGAAGAGCAAAGTCCTTGTTTTTCTTAATACTTACATATGTACGGCGGCGTAAAATTTTGTGGAAAAAATACACGAAGAATTGAAATTTTTCTCCAGAAGTCCCAGGTGCTGAGCAAAAAAAAAACATCACGTCTCCTGCGTAAATCCACAATGTGTTACTTGTTATCTCAATGGATTTGCTTAGTTTTGGATGTGTTGAGAAGAAGAAATTGTGTTCTTGTAAAAACTCCTCAAAGGTTTCCAAGCGCAAGTATCCAGAGATGGAGGGAAAAGACGATGGTTGCTCCGTTTAGATAGGTGGCTTAATCTATGAGGTATTGCAGTGAAATCAACTATGGGCAGCCACTTTCTTGACTCGTAAAAGCTAGAGCCGTAACAGGAACAAAATTGGTAATCACGGTAAGTCCACTCTATACCAATTCCCTCCCTCCCCTCCTAGATCGTGCAGATCTTTCAAGAGCCATAATTTTCCCGGAGGATTCAATCAAAATTCTGTAACAAAAACAATTCTGTTACGACCTATATAGAGATGGAGCGTTAATAGCCTGCCGACAAGTTAACTTTCGCGACATACATTTTACTAGACGGATTTGAAGAAAGTGGATCTGTTATTTAAACAGTTCGGAATCAATTTTTGCTCTGCCATATCATGTCAGATGTTGTTAGAAATTTTGTTTGCAAATTCACTACCATTTACTACTTAGTGTTAAGGCAAGCTTTTGAACACGACTTTAGGGACATGACATGTAACTTCGTGTGCTGTAAAGTCATTACCTCTTAAGAGAAAGAGAATATTTTTTTCGCAGAATTTTCAAAATACGTTGCTTCAAGATAGTGCTATTCCTTTCTAGCTTTGTATCCTCAGTTCTTTATTACAGGTTTTGCCGGATTATTATAACAAACGGCTGGCAAAGTGTAAATTTGAGTTTCAATAAAGGGCAATGATTTCGCACTAACGTAGGCCAAATATTGATATTACCACGGAACGCTCAAATGAGGGTAAGTGGATGAAATGATTCCAAAGGAACTCCGCTAAGAGGGGGGGGGGGAGGAGGGGAGGAGATGTGTCCTAGTTTCAATCACTTCTTCTTGGTAAAGTTTAGTATTAAATCGTTGGCTGAAATGAAAAGAATTGATATTGCTGGAATAGCCAGGATAAATTTCATTTATACGTCAATGATTTAATAAAAAAATTTACACGTGCACTGATCCGAAATGTAAACCCGTAACCTTGTGCTAATCTTTTCCTAGCATAAGATACTCTC